AAGGCTCCATCCAACCTGGCCTTGAACACCGCCAGGGATGGAGCATTTACAACTTCCTTGGTCAACCCACTCCAGTGCCTCAGCACCCTCACTGTAAAGAACTTCTTCCTTATATCTAATTTAAACTTCCCCTGTTTCAGTTTGAACTCATCACCCCTTGTCCTATCACTACAGTCCCTGAAAAACAGAATCCTTATAGGCCCCCTTCAGACACTGGAAGCTGCTCTGAGGTCTCCAGCAGCTTCTCTTCTCCAGGCTGAACAGCCCAAACCTTCTCAGCCTGTCTCCATACAGGAGGTGCTCCAGCCCCTGATCATCCTCGCGGCCTCCTCTGGCCTTGCTCCAACAGCTCCATGTCCTTTTTATGCTGAGGACACCAGAACTGTGCACAATACTCCAAGTGAGGTCTCACGGGAACAGAGCAGAGGGGCAGGATCACTTCCTTTGACCTGCTGGTCTTTTGATGCAGCCCAGGATACAGTTGGTTTCTGGGCTCAAGCACACACTGAAGCAGCTCATGTTCAGTTTCCCATCAACCAACACCCCCAAGTCTTTCTCCTCAAGCTGCTCTGAATCTCTTCTCTGCCCAACCTGCAGCTGTGCCTGGGGTTGCCCTGACCCAGGGGTAGGACCTTGCACTTGGCTTGGTTGATCTCCATGAGGTTGGCCCCTCACAAGCGTGTCCCAGTCCCTCTGGCTCCCATGTCTTCCCTCCTTTTTATCAGCCCAACCACACAGCTTTGCTTATTCATCATCTTTTATTCCTTCCTCCTTCAGCCTGACTAGTACTCTAAGGGATGCATCCCTAATAGCCTCTATTAGGGATGAACCACCCATCCAGCTTGGAGCTGTGAGCCATTTATTTCCTAGATGAATATTTCTACTTGAGGCATGTCACTCAGGATTTCTAAAGCTCTTAATAGCTGGGGAAAACCCCCAAACAATCCAAAGGGAGTATTTCAGGAAGAGAAAAACATACATACCCCAGATGCAGCCGAGAGAGATCAACAGGCAAAGACACATATCACAGCCCATGCCTCGGTTCATGAAGCCTCCGCTACAGTGGAGTTGATATGTGCTGCCACGCAGGTGTACTCAAACCCGAGCCCCTGCCCTGGGCCCTGTATTTCCTGTTTTTGATTAAATGTCTTCTTTTTTTCTTGAGTGGAAAGTATTCAAAGCACCGAGTTGTGCTGCTGAATGCTCCACCAGAGACAGCCCCGTGGAAGGAAGCAGATCATTGATTTCTGGTTTACAGCAGAACTGCATCGTCCTACTACAGGTCTTTAACCCCAGAAGAAGAGGAAGTAACCAGGAATAAGAGCATTTCACGTACAGTAATAGTGCCCTGGGGGTGTACAGAACCTCCCAGCGCTGCTACCGTAACCAACGTGGAGGCTGCATCCCAAATGCTGCTGCTCCATTGCAGCATCGTGGGGCTGGGACCCAGCATGAAGCCCCCCCAGAGAGCTGGTGGACACCAGTGCTCACAGCCACAATGTCCATCAGGGCAGGAATACCCCAAATACTCTGGGATTCACTCATACCCCTGCTTTGGGCTGCACGGGATCTACAGCGAGGAGGAGGATTGGGTTAGCCTTAAAACCTCACCAAGGAAAAACCCAATCCTTGTCCTCAGGTGGAGCACTCAGGGGATTGATCTGGACTTCATTTTGCTCGTGTTCTCCCCATAGCAGGTGCTTGGAGATGGGGATGGTCCTCCCCGTCCTGACAGGGTCCCCGTGTTGGGGATGGAGCAGGGCCATCAGCCTCCTGCACTCAGCAGAGAGCCGGGGATGGGGAAAACACTGCTCACTTGTTCCACTGCTGGGAAAGGGGTAAGAAGAGCTTGACTGGTTCTGTGGGTTTAGGGGAATGAATTATTCAACACCCCCAGAGCTTGGCCCACGCAGCTTTTACAGGGAAGAAGGGTTTTTTCCTTTCGCTTTCTTCAAGTTTCCATTGCTGTATCTGGTTTTCAGAAGCAGGAATTCCTCCACTGTTTTAAACCAGCCAAGCTCTGGGCTCTCCTTGAGTTTTATTGCTTGTTATGTAATAACAACTTCTTTCCAATGAAATAAAGCCTTCAAACCACACTAAACCACCCCCAGCATCCTGTTAGGCTGCTCCTTCCTGCTCAGAAAGCATCTGGCTAAAAAGAAAACCCAAACAAAAAAATACAAACTGAAAACCAACCCAAGCTATTTCTCAAACATCAGCAGTTGATGGAAGGGAACAGCTCAGCAAAGGCATGAAAAAGAAAGGATGAGTAAGAGCAGCATGAGGAGACTCAGGTCCTTTTCTTCACACATGCACACAAGGATCTTTGGCTCAGCTGAAACACGGTGGTGATTCCCCTGGAGGCATACAGCTCCCGGACCATGGTGATCATAGAATGATTTGGGTTGGAAGGGCCCTTAAAGCTCATCCAGCTCCACAGGCAGAGACACCTTCCACTAGAGCAGGTTGCTCCAGGTGGGAACACGGGAGTGGAGGGGGCAGCCACAGCTTCTCTGGGCACCCTGTGCCAGCGCCTCAGCACCCTCACAGGGAAGAGCTTCTGCCTCAGAGCTCATCTCAATCTCCCCTCTGGCAGGTTCAAACCATTCCCCTTTTCCTGTCCCTCCATCCCTTGTCCAAAGCCCCTCTTCAGGTTTCCTGGAGCTCCTTTAGAGCTGCTCTAAGGTCTCCCTGGAGCCTTCTCTTCTTCAGCTGACCCAGCCTGGCCCCAGAACAGAGCTGCCTTTTCTGCTGGGCAAGAGCGGAAATGTCCCCGTTGAGCTGGAAACGCTGCTTGTGTGTGATGCGCTGCTGCCGTGGGGACAGAGCCTGCAGCCGCAAAGGCAGGACGCTTGTCGGCCGCCTCGCAGTGCAGGGCCATCTACCACCGCATGGGGGCGCATGGCGACCACGG